AACAAGTCATCCGAGGATTGTCCTCGGCTTGGAAGACTGGTTCAGGGGCTACTGATGGTGTCCTAGATGGGGGGTGGGGGTGCTAACTGTTGAGTATAATATTTATTAGGAAAAATGAGATAGATTAGGATTTGTTTCGGCTTGTCTTGTACTTCAAGTAGATCATTGTACTCCTATATATATGCCCATGAGGCTCAATCAATACAACAAACTATTCCATCAAATCCCTCTCTCCCTTCTAACATGGTATCAATTTCCGGGTTCTAAACCCTAGCCGCCGCCGCTTCCGCACCCGCGCGCCGCCCCTGGGGTGGTCGGCCTCCATGACCGCCGCCGGGGGCCGCGCCGCCCGTACCTAGGGTTCGTCCGCCGGCCGTGTTGGCCGGCTGCCCTAGAGAGTCTTTTTTCCCGATCCTTTGATCCGGGTTTTCTCTCTCTCGCCAGTTGCTTTGATCGGCGTCTACTTTTTGGTTTTCCGGTCTATGTGACCCGGTTTGCGTCGCCCACCGCCGCCGTCGACCCTGCACGTCTACTCCAACACCGGCGCGATTGACCAGCTTCTTCACCGACTCGGCGGCCTCGCGCGTCGTCCGCGCGTCTGCCCGTCGGTCGCCCCGACGCGGCGGCCTCGCGCGTCGTCCACGCATCGGCCCGCCGGTCGCCCCGACCCGGCGGACTCGCGTCATGCGGCGGCTCTTCACCGCCGCCGTTCGTGCGACAGCCCGCCCGTCGATCTACGCCGGCCATCACCGCCCTGCTCCGACCGGGACTCCTGCATCACCCTGACCCGGCGGCCTCGGGCCATGCGGCGGCCAATCATAGCCGCCATGCCGCCCGCCGCCGCCGGCTTCATCTCGGACTCCGCCACCACCACGTCTCCACCGAGCGGCGTCCCCGACCTCGCGCGCGATCGGCTTGATCACCCGCTCGCCGCCGCGATCCGCCTCATCTACGCCGCGAGACCGACCTGGCCCGTCAGTTACGCGCGCCTCCGTAGGTCCCGTGAAGATCGTCTCCGAGTTCAGCGCGCCCCTCCGCCGATCGAGCAACGTCCTGCCGCTGCGTCGCCCCGTCGGGCCGCAGAACCGCCACCCCGTGGTTCTTCTCCCGGCTGCACCGACCCGCGTCACCGTTGCATCGCTCCTTCGGGCCGTAGAGCCGCGGATCGCGGTCTACCGCCGCCCGAGGCCGTCCGCTCCAGGCCGTCCCCGTGGCTGCACCGACCCTCGCGCCGCCGTTGCGTCGCCCTGTCAGGCCGTAGCGAGCGTGGCACGCAGTCCACGCCGCCGTCTCGAGGCCGTCCACGCGGTTGCACCACCCCGCGCTCCGCCGCTGCGCCGCCCCTTCGGGCTGTAGCACCGCGGCCCGCGGTCCCTGCGACCGTCCCGAGGTCTTCCCGCCGTCGCCCGGACCTGCCCGCCGCTGCTGCGTCGCCCCTACGGGCCGTAGCGCCGTGGCCCGCGTTCCACTCAGCCGTCACCGCGCGTCGACCTCCCGTGGTATGCGCTGCGCCGTCTCCCTTGGCGCGGGAACGCCACCGTCCACACAGGTCTTCGTCACGCTGTCGGGTTCTTTGCCTACTTCGAGCACTGCCGCCGCTGCGGCCGTCAGGCCGTCGCCGCCGCTCTACTTTGGCCGCCGCCGCCGCTCTACTTTGGCCGCCGCCGCCGCTACCCACGTAGCCGCCGCAGCCGCCCGCCCACCTCCTTCGTCTTCATCCAGCACCAGCCCGTCGCCAGCGTCGTCGTCATCTACCTCGACCGCTTCATCTACTTCGACAACCGCGCGCGACATTGGCCCCGTGCCGATTGGCGCCGCAACCATCATCGAGTCCTTCTCTGCTGGCCTCTCCGACTTCTTCGACATGGCGTACAGCTCGTGCATGTCCCAGTCTATGCATGCCCGATGCTGGCAACACTGCCGCGTGCCTTCGTCCACGACGTGTCCCCGGGCCCGGCAAGCCTGGTGCAGCGCTTCGTCAACTTCGTCTTCGTCCGTCTACGCATGCCAGGTGCTGGCAACACCGACGCGTGCCTTCGTCTATGATGTGTTCCCGGGGTTGGCAACCCCGACGCGACGCGTCGTCAACAACATCATCTTCCTGGTGCGTCCCTACTTCGACACCACTGCGCCCATGCTAACTCAGCGCCCCCTTGCGCCCGCGGCTCCACGGCGACTTCCTTGACACCGGCCACCCTGACTCGACATCGACCACGGCATTCTTCGCACGGCTACCTCGACCACGGCTCCACCACCCACGCTCTCGGCTACCTCGACAAACGGCACAAAGGGCTATCGCCTTGCTTGAGCAACCTCGTCGGTTGCCATTCCAGCCACGACTCCGTCATGCGTCGACCGTTACGACTGTGGGGGGGTGTCCGTCGCCTTGCCTTCGGATTCTTCTCCAGTCTCACCGTCTGCGTCGCTACCGTTGTGACTGCGGGGGGATGTTGAGTATAATGTTTATTAGGAAAGATGAGATAGACTAGGATTTGTTTCGGCTTGTCTTGTACTCCAAGTAGATCATTGTACTCCTATATATATGCCCACGAGGCTCAAGCAATACAACGAACTATTCCATCAAATCCCTCTCTCCCTTCTAACACTAACTACATCGGCTCCCAAGCAAGGGCTGGGTCGAGGAGCCCAAACAGCAAACCAGTGGGCCACATTCTTCAGGCCCCAGGAAGTAATCAAGATGGAATCCACCGAAGACTTGGCGCATACTCCAAGGCGGAATGTAATCCTCGGCATGTTTACCCCCCCCCCCCCAAGATGTAACCGACCTAGCTGTAACCCTAGGCACCTCTAGTGTCTATATACGCCGAGGGGTTTAGACCATAGAGAGAGATTCATTCACACATATGATCTCGAGGTAGATTAACCTGTACCCTACCCCATCCACAATCAATACAAAACAAAGCAGGACGTAGGGTCTTACATCTTCGTGAGGGCCTGAACCTGGGTAAACACCCCGTCCCCCTCATTTTCCTATTACCATCGTGCCAAGATCACTAGCTCGAGAACCACTACTCGAGATCTACCAGATTCAACTCCGTCAGCCAGGCGCATGAGGCCTTGCGGTGGGCCTCTTGTCTGCGAACACAGCAGAACACCGTTCTCCCTTTTGATGGCGTTGTCGTGTTCGCACGTGGTGTCCCCGACGATGGATCTAGGGATATTGAACGTCATGCTGATTCGGGCCGCCTTTAAAGGCATGGGTATCCGAGGCGCCATGTACTACTTCACCGACATTTTCCCCACGGCTTGTCTTCGGTCTCTAGGCACTCTCCACGGCGGGTCGTGCAGCCTACTTGCCGATCTCTAGGCACTCTCGAGGCCTCTGCCTTCGATATCTAGGCACTCTCGATGTTGTGTTCTACAACCTACTTGCCGATCTCTAGGCAGTCTTGATATCGATGCTCCTTGCATTCCATGGCTCCAACACCCTATAGCTATGTGGTGACCTCTAGGCACTCTCCAGTCTCCTCGTCTTCCATGGCCCCAACATCATATGTGGTGATCTCTAGGCGCTCTCGAGGCTCCTCACCTTCCGTGGTTGGAGTCTGGGCTTAATGGGTTTGGTTGTGTTTTGCTTTGTTTGAATCAAGTATACCATATCTCTTTTTGCGTTTGTGTTGTCCTTCTCGTACTCTTTTTTATTTCCAAGCTTTCCGTATTCACCAAAAAATAATGCTCATCTAGTGTGTGTTTTTTATCAATGAGCTATCAATGAAAATATTTGCAAGCTTTGTGTATGCTTATATCTAATGAGAAAGCTTGGACTTTTCTTTCGCCAATCAATCTAGCAAGAAGTGAAGGAGTCTCAACAAACACAAAGCTTGCAACAATTAATTTTTTTTTCGAACATACACACACTCACTCCTATGAATAGGAATGCAATGCAATGAGTATTTTCAATATCAATATCTTTATCTTCAAAACCGGCACAACATCCTTATCTTTAGAATGTACACACACTCGCTCTATGAAATGGGTTGGTTCCTCCGTAGCGAACCTCACCATATGAGCAATGCTTAGTTGGTCCGGCAACAACGTATTGAAGTTTCAATGATTACCGTGACAAAAGAAATTCGATCACGTACAACTTTATAGCCGCCTTCGAGTGAAGTACATGGATTATAACTCACTACAGAACCGGACACGAGTAGATCAAATCGGAGGCAAACTTACACTAAGAGCATCTCCAACAGTCACGGTAAGCGCCGCGCGCAAAAATCTTGTTTGCCGCGCGCGCTTCGGCTGGTTTAGCGCGGCCGCCAGCGCTGGCTCCAGCAGCCGCGCTATAATGCAGCGCGCGCGCCGCTCCAGCAGAGCGCAAAAATACAGCGCGCGCGCCGCACAAACCACGTATACATTTCAAAAAAGAAGAACAAAAATGATCAAACAAACAAAATAGATCAACAATAAATAGTTTAATTTTGTTATCATTACAACTCAAACAAATAGTTTATCGTTCAGTACAACAAATAATGCAATAAACACAACAAATAATGCAGAAATCATGATGCTCTTTGTCGTCCATACCATGCCCACCACTCTTCAATCAGATCATTCTGAAGTTTATTGTGCGTTGCGGAACGCCGAATGGCATGATAGGGGGGCGCGGGCGGCGGCGGCGGCGCGGCCGGATGGGAGTGGAAGCGGGAGAGGAAGTGCGAGAGCAAGCGCTCGAGTGTGCCGCGCGCTGCAGCGGGCGCCCGAAATACACCGCGCGGGGCAGTGTTTTCGACAGCGCGCCCAACTCGTTTTAGCGCGCGCACGGTTTTTGCGGGCCCGCTGGAGCGACCCGTCGCGTTGCGCACGCGCTAAAACCGACTAATTTGCAGTGCGGCGCTAGTATAGCGCGGCTGTTGGATTAAATGAGCGGAAATCACGAAAGAGTGGAAACATACAAAATATGTACTGTAGAAGGCTCGTGAACGACCGAACGGCCGAACACGACTAAAGGAGATCAAATTAAGCGCGAACGCATGCGTCTAGTGATTCCTGGTGGTGGTGTCCTTGGTGGCATTGTCACCACCCATGCCCAGCGTGTTCGCCACGGCGTCCTTGGCGCCCACCACGGCGCCCACCACCGTCTCGCCGGCCTGCTGGAGCACGCTGCCGGTCTTGTCCTTGCCGGCCACGGCGGACTCCTTGGTGTACTGCGCGGCGTCGGAGGACCTCTCCTGCGCGTACTGCGCCGCCTCCGACGCCTTCTGCTTGGCCGCCTCGGCCGTCTCGGCGGCCTTCTGCTTGGCCGCCTCCGTCTTCTCGCCGAGGAAGCTGCCGGTCTGGTCCTTGCTCTCGGCGGCGCGGTCCTTGGCCGCCTGCGCCGTCTGGGCCGTCTTGTCCTTGGCCTCGCCGGCCTTCTGCTTGGTGGCCCCGGCTGTCTCTCCGGCCTTCTGCTTGGTGGCCCCGGCTGTCTCTCCGGCCTTCTGCTTGGTGGCCCCGGCTGTCTCTCCGGCCTTCTGCTTGGTGGCCTCCGTGGCCTGCCCCGCCTTGTCCTTGGTTGCACCCACCATCTGCCCGGTCTTCTCCTGCGCAGCCAAACCAAGAGAGCATTTCAGATCACTGAGCATGAATGCACGATGAAGTGGCAGGCACTGCGGGAGACGAGGGTTACCTCGGTGCGGGCCTTGGTCTCGCCGGCCGCGTAGCTCGCCTGGTTCTGGTTGGAGGCCATCTTCTCTTGTCTCTCACCAACAAACACGAACTGAAATCACTGTAAATCTCACTGCTAGTATTGCTCAACTCTGGCTTGGATGAATCGATCGACTGCTTGTGTTGGAAAGGAGATTGCAGCAGGCGGCATTTATAGGCAGAAGCAACGGGACACGTCGCGCGGCCGTGCTCGTACGTGGCCGCCACGTATAGAAAGTAGCTTCGCGAAGCTCGATTGCTCACCCATATCACGAGCTGCTGATTCGATCCAACACATGCGGATGAAGGTGCCGAAGCCAAGTAGGAGACCAACACAAGTGTAAAGACGGGTTCAGGAAGGAGATTGGGTGGGGCAGTGTGACGGTGGAGTCCAATGCCGACGTTACTCACGATGCAAAGAAATGCTAGAAATTGGGTACCACAAGTAGGATGCGCCTTTCTGTGCGAGATGCAGGCCAGGTGATATGCGGTGGTCGGCCGGCCACGCGCCCTAGCTTCTGTTTTCTTTTTTCAAAGCCCTAGCTTCTTTTGATCCACGTGTCCATGTCTGATTGCAAGATTTCATATATTCTTCTGGCGTGTCCAAGTCTCATTGCACGATTTCATATTTTTCTATTCTTGGGTGTTTAGTAGAGCTGATAGAAAGATACTACATTGTACAGAGATTGTGTCAATCGGAGGGAGTATGATTTTGTAAGTGGGGAATGTGGTCTACTTGATTTTCCAAGTTGTGCCTCGATGACCTAGAAAGTGTCGTATGGCGGATGACCGTCTAACACACGAAAAGCTGGCGCATATTGAAGGAGAAAATAGCGATAGATAGATGCGGCTTTGAAAGCCATTGAAGATGAAATTAAGATATCATAAAACCGCAAGAATCATGGCATTGTCGAGGTGAGTGGGAAGAATGGGAGATGAGATTTGGTGTCATATGTACGCAATTGTGTGTTACTTTGATTGAAGATATTCTTATGGCTTTTAAACCATGGAGTAGTTTTTGTTGGAATATTAGGCAAATTAATGATTAATTTCAGAAAATAACTCATGAATAACACAAAGAATAGCATGCAACAATTTAACATAGGTGAACAGAAAAATATACACAACATCATCGCGCATGAAGCATCGATTACAGATAGAGACATGAACAGGTCACAATGGACATATTGTCCGTTAGCTCCTGTAGGAGCGATGGTGTTGATGACGATGTTGTCGGCGTTCGGTTGTTGACGGCGATGGAGACGACGATGACTAGCAACGCCCGACTTGGACGAAAGACAATCTGTGATGACGAACTTGAGCAGTCGAGCAGAGTGCTCCCCAAAAACGTAATTCGTCCTCTCCCGGTGCAGGATCGCAAGGACGAACGGTTCCGCAGACCTACTCTCCCACACGCGATGCACATCGGCGTTCGGAATAGAGTAGACATACGGTGGCAGCGCAAGTTGCGAGATGAGGCAAAACCCTAGGTGTTTCTGATGTTTCTTTGGCTGAGGCCGGTAAGCAATATATAACAACCAACTTTTCCGTCACACATCAAAAATGAAACGGCAAAAGGAAGCTATGCCCCCGCAAGGCAACAGATCGGTTTTCGGCAGACCATTAACTCGCATGTCGCACATACTCAGTTTGCTCACAATAAAAGAGATATCTGGCCTTGTTGCGCTAACTGAGTACATGAGTGAACCGACAATTTGAGAGTATCTTAATTGATTTCTCATTTCTTTCTTGTTCTTTCTAAGTGTCATGCTGGGATCATAAGGTGTTGGAGAAGACTTGCTATCCATAAAGCCCAACTGGCTCAAGACCTTCTCAAAATAATGAGATTGTGTTAGAGTAATCCCACTCTTATCCTTAATAAATTTGATGTTTAGAATCACATCGATTTCTCCCAGATCTTTCATGTCAAACTCTATGATAAAAAAGACTTGACTTAATTGATCGCATCAAGTTTGTACCAAAGATCGGTATGTCATCCACATACAACATAATATGACACTATTGCCCCCACCATAGCGATAGTAAAAAGACCTACCAGCCTTGTTAATGACAAATCCCGCAAAAGTCGGAGTTCTTTTAAACTTCTCATGCCATTGCTTAGGTGTGTATTTTAGACCATACAAAGATTTTAACCACTTGCACACCTTTCTCTCTTCACCCTTTACCACAAACCCGTCAGGCTGATCCATATATATCTCCTCTTCCAACTCTCCATTAGGAAAGTTGTCTTTACATCCATTTGATGAATGATAAGACCATAAGAGGCAGCCAGTGAAAGTAGCACACGAATGGTGATCATTCTAAAAACTAGTGAATAGGTGTCAAAGTAATCTTCGTCTTCTTTCTGAGTGTAGCCCTTGGCCACAAGTTGTGCCTTGTACTTATCAATAGTACCATAAGGCCTTAGCTTCTTTATATACACCCACTTATAGCCCATAGGTTTACAACCATAGTGTCATTCAGTTAGCTCCTAAGTTCCATTAGAAAGGATTGAGTCCATCTTGTTATGAACAACTTCTTTCCATTCATCTACATCCGGAGATGCATATGCCTCTGCAATAGACTTGGGAGTGTCGCCACAAGGTATACAATGAAATCATCACCAAAGGATTTTGCAACCCTTTGTCTCTTGCTCCTCGCAGGAGCTTCATCATTATCCTTCTCAAGGACTTCCTCAGGTGATTGTTCGAAATACTCATCAAATGTACTAAATTCAGGAATTATATCAGGAGAAAAGCTAGTAATGCTATGCATATCTTTCATAGGAAATATATTCTCAAAACATGTTGCATCACGAGATTCGATTATAGTATCAACATGCATATCAGGTACCTTAGATTTAACCACTAAAAATCTATAAGCAATGCTCCGCTGAGGATAACCTAGAAAGACACATTACACAACCTTTGGTCTGAGTTTGCGTTTCTTAGGAATAGGAATATTGACTTTCGCCAAACATCCCCAAGTGTACAAATAAGAAAGTGATGGTTTTCTCCCAACCCACTCTTCATAAGGGGTTTTCTCTTTGTTCTTGTTAGAAACTTTATTCAAGACATGACATGAAGTCAATAGAGCCTCCCCGACCATGCCTTAGATAAACCAACAATTACGAATATGGCATTCGCCAAGTAAGTCAACATGCATTTTTTTCTCTCGGCAACCCCATTCGATTGGGGTCAATAGGGATGCGTCCTCTCGTGAATAATATTGTGTTCCTCACGAAATTCATCAAATACTTTGAGAAAATAATCTCCACCACGATCTGACCTAAGATGCATGATCTTTCTCTCTACTCAATTTCCAACTTTAGCTTTATAGATTTTTATAGTAGTCTAAAGCTTCATCTTTAGTTTGCAACAGATAAACATGGCAAAATCAAGTTGCATGATCAATCAACGTCATGAAATATCTTTTTTCACATTTTGTCAACACACCATTCATCTCACATAGATCAGAACGTATGAGTTCTAGAGGTGCCAAGTTTCTCTCCTCGACAGCCGTGTGAGGCTTTCTAGGTTGTTTCGATTGCACACAACTATGGCACTTAGAATATTTGGCAACAATGAAATTCAGAATTAAACTCATACTGGATAGCCGAGACATTAAACCAAAATTAATATGACATAAACGAGAGTGCCAAACACTTGCATCATCGTTAACACTAGCATAAATTTGGTTTACTGATTTATTGCAAAATTTGAAAGGGAAAACCGGGACAAGCCTTTGCACTCATAGCCTTTGCCTATAAATTGTCCAAATCTCGACATGATTACTTTATTTGACTCTAAAACTACCTTAAACCCATCTCGAGATAGAAGGGAGCTGCTACTGATTCTTGTTCATAGTAGGGACAAGCTGCACGATCGTTCCCAAAGCAAAATTCGGATCCATCATGTCAATGCCACAAACAAAAGCACATGACTCCTTCCCCATTAGGACGGAAGAATCCTTTGTGATCTGATAAGAAGTGAACAAAGAGACGTCAGCACACACGTGAATGTTAGCACCCGAATCAATCCACGGCGAAGGTGATTGAAATATTGAAAGAACAATAGGTAAATTACCATTCCCATCAATATTGCAAGTGCTCACCATGTTGACAGTCTTGGAGCTTGTTTTCTCTCTGTGGTCTGTGGCGGTTGGGTCGAACCCTGAGCCTGCATCGCCGCGAATCCTACACGTACGAGTCTGCTGCCGGGCGCCCCTATGGCTCGCCTTCAGCAAGTCCACCTTCCGACTCGCTCAAGGGGCGAGCGAGATGAGTGGCCCCACACGCGCCGCAGGGCACAACCTCTTTTTTTCTGTTTTTTTTCCTGTTTTTTGTTTTTTTCCTTTATTTTTTTACATTTGTTTATAGTTTAAATATCCAAAACATATACAGTACAAAATAAACTCTACAATGAAAATTGAAAACATATTCAACAAGTATTTGAAAAATATTGAACAAGTATTTAAAAATGCTAATCAATCATTCAGAAAAATGTTGAATGTAAATAGAAAAAATGTTGATCATGTACTAAAAAATGATGTAATTTTTTGATTATGTGTATAAAATTGTTTATCAAGCCTTTAAAAAAATGTTGAACAAGTATTTGAAAAATGTTTAAGAAGCATTTGGGAGATTATAAATATGTATAATGAATGTTGACCATGTATTAAAAATGACGAAACAATTTGATCATGTATATAAAAATGTTAAGCAAGTGTTTAAAAAGATGTTGAACAAGCTTTTGAAAAATGATAATCAAGCGTTTGGAAAATGTTAAATATGTATAGAAAAAATGTTGACCATGTATTCAAAAGAATGTTAATCTTTTATTTGAATACTGTTAATCAAGCATTTAAAAATGTATAGAAAAATTGTTGACCGTGTATTCAATAAAAATCTTGTATTTGGAAAATGTTAATCAAGCATTTTAAAAATGTTAAAAATGGGTATAGAAAAAATGTTGACCATATATTACAATTTTTTTTAATTTGTATTGGAAAAATGTTGTTGAACAATTATAACCAAAAGAACAAAGGAAACAAAAAAATAAACAAAATGAAAATAAAATGAAAAAACTAAGAAAAAAGATGCAAAAAAAGAATAAAAATTGAAGAAAAAAGGTTAAAAAAAGGAAAAGAAAACAAAAAAAATGTCTGCGCCTCCTCCGTAACCATGAATGCAGAAAGAAACTAAAAAAAGAAAAAGGAAAATGAAGAAATAAAGACTTGGGTCTTTTACTTCAAGTAGTCCGCGCCTCCTCTATAACACGATCCCAAAACTGGCGTTGTGGCTAGGAGCTCGTTGCGTTACCCAAGCGACCATTGATCGAATTTCAGCATGGCCCCATTTTAGTTCCTAACTTTTCTGTTCTTTAGTATGTGCTAATGGGCCGGCCCGATTACCCGGGACGCTTTAGCGAGAGATCCAGTGACTGCTGTCCGTCAGCGTTGTGGGCTACAGTAGTATATAATCTGGTTTTTGCTCCAGACCTGGGTGGGCCACGACCTAATCGGCCTTGCCAAAGCTCCGCCGGTGGTAAACACCACAAACATCATATTAGTATATAGGGTCACAGCCCAATCGGTCTTGCTCTTGCCAAAGCTCCGCCAGTGGTAAACACCACAAACATCATATTAGGTAAAAATATTTCACAATTAGGGTTAGGATCCACATGAACAAATCCATCCAAATACACAAATCCAACTAATAAAAATTGGGAGACGAAGAAGATTACCTTAAGGAACGGAAAAGACATCAGATCCACATACCAATGCAATCGATTCGGAAGGATTTGAAGAAGGGTTAAGTGATAGAGACAATGAGGAAAAGGCTAGAGCTCGGGGTGGCCAATGAGGAGGAAGAGAATGAGTGGTGAGTGGTGGGTGAGAGCGCCACCGCGGCCCGCAACCACTTATTTATCCATCGCCGAAACGCCAAGGCCCATGGCGTTACTGGCAACGTAGTGGGCCGGGGTTCGGTGTTTCTGGCTGCCACATAGGTGAGCGACACCAGCGAGGCCTGGTCGTGGGGCAGGGCAGAAACACGCCAGTGTCTGGCGTTTCCATGTGGGACAGAAACGGCACAATCTTTCGCGTTTGAGAAAATGGTCATTTTGTGAAATAATTTTTTGGGAGGTCATTATGTGCCCAATGTTCATGACAAGATCAGAATAGTAATTTCGGCCTCAAAGCCATGGGCACAGGAATATGGCAGGTGAGCTGGGCCCCACTACATTATGCATCTCAGGTCAACCCTAGTCGCAGGAGAGCCGTGGATGCCCTCACACCCCATCTAAAAATGCAAAACCTTTTTTAGTAGTAGTTAGTCTAAGCTTTTTTTAGAAGAACAGGGAGGCCCCTCTCCGGTTTCATTACTCGAATTAAACCCTCAAGTAGTGCCCATACAACAGCTCTCTTAGAGGAGCAATTCAGTAAGCAACAACAAAGGAAAACAAGTTCGACTTAAAACATCCCTATTACACAATGGCTATGAACAACCAATAGTAGCCGAGGAACAAACTACTGGATGCAGGCGACCTCCTGGGATGCCCTCCTGGTCTTCATGGGTGGCGCCGCGGCGGCCTGAGGAGACCAGCAGGTGGTGAGTGTCAACAATAGGGTTGGACGAAGCAGTTTTGTCACCGAGGTCTCTCTTCTTGGGGGACAAGAAGCCTCCATCGTGTTCAGTGATCTTGAGCTTTCCCCGGGGTCGAATGCCAGCAAGTTTCTTGAGTTCAGCCACAAGTGATCATCATTGGTTTCTGAAGGAATTTCGCCAGTTGCGCCGGAAAGACCAACAGTCTTTCCTTGCACAAATCTGGGGACAGAATAGCCCAGTTCCTTACTGTGTTCAAGATCAATCTCAGCACCTGGTTAAGAGAGATCCAAGTAGTGTTATTAAAAATCATAGAATTTCTATATTTCTTTTTTTTTAAACCGGGCATTACCCCTTTCCATTAACCAAATAACGGAAATACAACAGTCTCCGAGCTGGATCAGAAAGGAAACCAAAACACTGCTGAGCTAACAGTGAAAGTAGCTGCCTTCGCGTTAATTTGTCGAGCTAGTTTCGCACTTTGGGGGGCAGGGGGGATCCTATGTGACCCTCTCCCGCTTCTGACTAGGGTGGTGTACGATCAAATAAGTGTGCACTGCTTTCAGGTTGGATGCACTATTACATAGCGGTCCACAATGAAACATTATGATTCATTTTGAAACAAGAACAACCTTAATACAGCACTATGGAACAATTTGGTAAACCCAGAAAAACGTAGCATGAATCTCAAACCTGGTTTATCTACCAGTGTATTGTCATATCTCTTAGAACCGTAATCATAACATGCCGGAGAGTTTGTTGGACGAAAGGTATATCTTCTGGAGATTTCCGGCGTTGCCTATGGACGACGGTATAGCGCCGGAGAGCTGGTTCGACGAAAAGTCTATATACTCGAGGTTTTTTGCGTTGCCTATGGACGACGGTATGGTACCGGAGAGTTTGTTGGACCAAAGGTCTAAACTCTGCAGATTTCTGGCATTGCCTATCGACGATGGTATGGCGCCGAGGAACCGGTTCCGACCGAGTAAGAGAGTGGCCAGCGACCTGGCGCTGCCAATGCCGTCACCGATGCCGCCGGTGAGATGGTTGTCCGCAAGGTCAATAATTTCGACGTTGGGAAGCGCCCATAAGCCCTGGGGTACCTCGCCGGAGAGCGAGTTTTTGCTGACACGGAACCTCTCCAGGGTCGTGCATCTCGCGTAGGTCGCTGGGATTTCGCCAGAGAATTTATTCTCAAGCAGCAGCCTCCCGCTCTTGCACATGTCCGGCGGGATCGGCCCCGTCAGTGAGTTCGTGCTCCTCTAAGAGAGCTGTTGTTGTAGGTCAGCTCCGACCAAGTCCCGAGGCTCTGCGGCAGCTCGCCTGTGAGGCTGTTGTTGTAGAGTGACAGGTAGACGAGCTCCTTGAAGTCTCCGATTTCGAGGGGCACCTCGCCGGAGAAGCTGTTGTCGAAGAGGTGAAGCGACACGAGCCGCGTGAGGAACCGGAGCTCGGAGAGGCCGCCGGTCAGCATGTTCTGTGACGCGTCGAAGTACTGTAGCTTCGTTAGCTTCCCGAACCCCCGCGGGAGAGCTCCGGTAAGGGAGCTGTTGTACAGTTCGAGGGCCCGGAGGTTAACGAGACTGGCAATCTCCGGGGGTATCTCGCCCGTGAGGTTGTTGTCGGCCAGCTCGAGGTCCACGAGCTTGACTAGGCTCCCCATAGCCCGCGGGATGGCGCCGACGATGTTGGCGGCAGAGAGGTAGAGCACGGTGAGGTTGGTGAGCTCGGTGACCTCGGCGGGGAAAGAACTGGTCGGCTCGAAGAACGGGTTGTCTCCCGCGGCGAGCACGGTGAGGCCTGGCATGGCGGGCAGCGCGGCCCAGGGGAACGCACCCGAGAAGCTGTTATTCGAGACGTCGAGCCTGCGGAGACGGATCAGCGGCGAGAGGTCCGGCACGGCGCCGGAGAAGGCATTGGACGCGAGGGTGAGCTCCTCAAGCCCCGTGCACGCGACGACCCTGTCGATGCCCCCGGCGAGCGCGTTCGACGGCAAAGAGAGCGTGGTGAGGTTCGTCAGCGAGCCGCAGATGATGCCGAACGGGACGGACGCGGCAGCGACTCCGTGCTCCCGTACGGACACGCCGATGACGACGGAGCGGCTGGAGTCGCAGGTGACGCCGGTGAAGTTGCAAGGCGAGGCAGCGGCGGCGTCCCACGTGGAGAAGAAGGCTGCGGCCGCGGGCGGGATGGTGAGGGATCGCTTGAAGGCTAGGAGGGCGTCCGTTTGCGAGGATGACGCGGCGGAGGCGGGTTGGAGGCCGGCGAGGAGGACGGCCAGGAGGAGGGTGAGTGGCGGCGGCATGGCAGGGAGCCAGGGGATGGTTCCTTGGTGTTGGCTCTGTGGGCTGATTGATTGATTGGTTACAAGGATCGGACTAGCACATTTTTTCTACCGCGTTTCTACTACCCTGCACCTTCAATCAAGCTGCATGTATCCATCCAGCAACGACGAATGCCCCTCCCAGTCGGCGACTCCTTTAATCTCCGTCCATGCTGAATGCCGTCAAGCTTGCACCGCCCGAGACTCGGTCCAACGACATTGCTCTCGAGTCCGGTGAGTGGCGGAGATGGCTTCTGGGACCGCCAGTCAAACCCGTCCGACACGCATGCTAGAAAGCTAACACCATTCCATCATTTGTTCTCCTCCGTCTTCATGTGAAGTGACATATAGAGTCTTGTTAAATGTCAAGATCTCACTAAGGGCGTCTCCAACACCGATCCGCATATCTGCCGCATGCGTCTAGACCGTGCTGTCCGAATCATGAAAGTCATTTAACACGGTCCTGTATCGGTCCGTGGTGCGCTTGGTATATGTTTTCTTCCGCAAATCGGAGACAAACGTGGGGGCTTTGCGGGAGTCCGGACCGCTTGCAAGCCCTCTTCTGACCGCTCTAGCCCACCCAAAACCCCTCCTCTTCCCATGCTTTTTCGGTCAGTGCCGCTCCAAAGCGTCAGCGCCTGCATTCATGCCCGGCCAAAGCGGATGCGCCAGCTCACTGGCACCAGCATTGAAGCGGTGCGACGATCGAGAGAGTGTTGCCCGCGCCACTTCCCGGTGCACATTCAAAAACACGACAACCGCCCGTTCATCCATCTGCAGCCCACGTTGATGGCACATGTTTGCCAAGGCGTCTCCTACAACGTCATCCGTCCGTCCCTCTGCGGTCCATCATTGCTATATAAACCGTTTCCCCGACCATAGGCGCAGTCATCCGCCTCCAATCCCTCTCCGCACCACTCCCACCGTGGATTCCTCCCCCGCCAAAGCTCTCTAGGACGGGCTGACGTCGGACCAGAAGAAGGAGATGGTCGTCATTGCTGCCGGTTGGCTGACCGGCAGGCAGCCGGAGGACGACGACGTCCCAATGAAGGACACTGCTGACAATGAACCGGCACTACCCTCCTTCTCTGCGGCACCCTCGCTGGTGCATTGCACTATGACCTGTAGGGGAACGTAGTAATTTCAAAAAATTTCCTACGCACACGCAAGATCATGGTGATGGCATAGCAACGAGAGGGGAGAGTGTTGTCCACGTACCCTCGTAGACCGTAAGCGGAAGCGTTAGCACAACGCGGTTGATGTAGTCGTATGTCTTCACGATCCGACCGATCCAAGCACCAAACGTACGGCACCTCCGAGTTCAGCACACGTTCAGCTCGATGACGATCCCCGGGCTCCGATCCAGCCAAGCTTCGGGGATGAGTTCCGTCAGCACGACGGCGTGGTGACGATGATGATGTTCTACCGGCGCAGGGCTTCGCCTAAACTCCGCAACGATATGACCGAGGTGGAATATTGTGGAGGGGGGCACCGCACACGGCTAAGGAACGATCCGTAGATCAACTTGTGTGTTATGGGGTGCCCCCTGCCCCCGTATATAAAGGAGGGAGGGGGAGGTGCGGCCGGCCCCCTTGGGGTGCGCCTGGAGGAGTCCTACTCCCACCGGGAGTAGGACTCCCCCCTCTTGCCTTGGTGGAGAAGGAAAGGGGGGAGGGGAAAGAGGAAAGGGGGGCGCCGCCCCCCCTTCTTTGTCCTATTCGGACTAGGGGGGAGGGGGCGCGCGGCCTTCCCTGGCCGGCCCTCCTCTTCTCCCTCATGGCCCACTAAGGCCCATTAACCCCCGAGAGGGTTCCGGTAACCCCCGGTGTTCCGGTAAAATCCCGATTTCACCCGGAACCTTTCCGATGTCCAAACATAGGCTTCCAATATATCAATCTTTATGTCTCGACCATTTCGAGACTCCTCGTCATGTCCGCGATCACATCCGAAACTCCGAACAAACTTCGATACATCAAAACTCATAAACTCATAATATAACTGTCATCGAAACCTTAAGCGTGCGGACCCTACGGGTTCGAGAACTATGTAGACATGACCTAGAACTATTCTCGGTCAATAACCAATAGCGGAACCTGGATGCTCATATTGGCTCCTACATATTCTACGAAGATCTTTATCGGTCAAACCGCATAACAACATACTTTGTTCCCTTTGTCATCGGTATGTTACTTGCCCGAGATTCGATCGTCGGTATCCAATACCTAGTTCAATCTTGTTACCGGCAAGTCTCTTTACTCGTTACGTAATACATCATCTCGCAACTAACTCATTAGTCACATTGCTTGCAAGGCTTATATTGATGTGCATTACTGAGAGGGCCCGGAGATACCTCTCCGACAATCGGAGTGACAAAACCTAATCTCGAAATACGCCAACTCAACATGTACCTTCGGAGACACCTATAGTACTCCTTTATAATCACCCAGTTACGTTGTGACGTTTGGTAGTACCCAAAGTGTTCCTCCGGTAAACGGGAGTTGCATAATCTCATAGTTACAGGAACATGTATAAGTCATGAAGAAAGCAATAGCAACATACTAAACGATCAAGTGCTAGGCTAACGGAATGGGTCATGTCAATCACATCATTCTCCTAATGATGTGACCTCATTAATCAAATGACAACACATGTCTATGGTTAGGAAACAAAACCATCTTTGATTAATGAGCTAGTCAAGTAGAGGCATACTAGTGACTATATGTTTGTCTATGTATTCACACATGTATCATGTTTCCGGTTAATACAATTCTAGCATGAATAATAAACATTTATCATGAAATAAGGAAATAAATAATAACTTTATTATTGCCTCTAGGGCATATTTCCTTCAGTCTCCCACTTGCACTAGAGTCAATAATCTAGTTCACATCGCTATGTGATTTAACACCAATATTCACATCTGCATGTGATTAATACCTATAGTTCACATCATCATGTGATCAACACCGAAAAGGTTTACTAGAGTCAATAATCTAGTTCACATCGCTATGTGATTAACACCCAAAGAGTACTAAGGTATGATCATGTTTTGCTCGTGAGAGAGGTTTAGTCAACGGGTCTTTCATATTACAGAGTCGTATGTATTTTGCAAATATTCTATGTCTACAATGCTTTGCACGGAGCTACTCTAGCTAATTGCTTCCACTTTCAATATGTATCCAGATTGAGACTTAAAGTCATCTGGATCAATGTAAAAGTTTGCATCGATGTAACTTTTACGACGAACTCTTTTATCACCTCCATAATCGAGAAACATCTCCTTATTCCACTAAGGATAATTTTGACCAATGTCCAGTGATCTACTCTTAGATCACTATTGTACTCCCTTGCCAAACCAGGGCAGAGTATACAATAGTTCTGGTCCATAGCATGGCATACTTTTATAGAACCTATGACTGATGCATAGGGAATGACTTTCATTCTCTTTCTATTTTCTGCTGTGGTCGGGATTTGAGTCTTACTCAATTTCATACCTTGCAACACAGGCAAGAACTCTTTCTTTGACTGTTCCATTTTGAACTACTTCAAAATATTTATCAAGGTATGTACTCATTGAAAAACTTATCAAGCGTCTTGATCTATCTATATAGATCTTGATGCTCAATGTGTAAGCAGCTTCACCAAGGTCTTTCTTTGAAAGAAATCCTTTCAAACACTCCTTTATCCTTTGCAGAATAATTCTACATTATTTCCGATCAACAATATGTCATTCACATATACTTATCAGAAATGCTGTAGTGCTCCCACTCACTTTCTTGTAAATATAGGCTTCACCGTAAGTCTGTACAAAACTATATGCTTTGATCAACTTATCAAAGCGTATATTCCAACTCTGAGATGCTTGCACCAGTCCATTGATGAATCGCTGGAGCTTGCACATTTTGTTAGCACCTTTCGGATCGACAAAAACTTCTGGTTGTATCATATACAACTCTCCTTTAAGAAAACCATTAAGGAATGCAGTTTTGACATCCATTTGCCAGATTTCATAAAATGTGGCAATTGCTAACATGATTCAGACAGACTTAAGCATCGATACGAGTGAGAAAATCTCATCGTATTCAACACCTTGAACTTGTCGAAAACCTTTCGCAACAAGTCGAGCTTAGTAGATAGTAACACTACTATCAGTGTCCGTCTTCCTCTTGAAGATCCATTTATTTAACATGGCTTGCTGATCATTGAGCAAGTCAATCAAAGTCCATACTTTGTTCTCATACATGGATCATATCTCAGATTTTATGGCCTCATGCCATTTCGCGGAATCTGGGCTCATCATCGCTTCCTCATAGTTCTTAGGTTCATCATGGTCTAGTAACATGACTTCCAGAACATGATTACCGTACCACTCTGGTGCGGATCTTACTCTGGAAGACCTACGAGGTTTGGTAGCAACTTGATCTGAAGTTTTCATGATCATCATCATTAACTTCCTCACTAATTGGTGTAGGAATCACTGGAACTTATTTCTGTGATGAACTACTTTCCAATAAGGAAGAAGGTACAATTACCTCATCAAGTTCTACTTTCCTTCCACTCACTTTTTTCGAGAGAAACTTTTTCTCTAGAAAGGATCCATCTTAGCAACGAAATAACTTGCCTTTGGATCTGTGATAGAAGGTGTACCCAATAGTTACCTGTGGGTATTCTATGAAGACGCACTTCTCCGATTTGGGTTCGAGCTTATAAGGTTGAAAACCTTTTTCATATAAGCATCGCAACTCCAAACTTTAAGAAACGACAGCTTAGGTTTACTGCTAAACCATAGTTCATATGGTGTCGTCTCAACGGATTTAGATGGTGCCCTATTAAACGTGAATGCAGCTGTCTCTAATGCATGACCCCAAAACGATAGTGGTAAACTGATAAGAGACATCATAGATCGCACCATATCTAGTAAAGTACGATTACGACGTTCGGACACACCATAACGTTGTGGTGTTCTAGGTGGCGTGAGCTGT